AAAAAAAAAAAAAAAACATGGCTCATAGCTGTGGCAATAAAAACGCTATTTCCAACCACTTCACTGAAAAACCTCTTAGTCACTGCTGATGTCTTTCCGTCTTGGCATCAACAAACTGCCAGAACGTCTGCATTTATAAAATGCTGCCACACTGGCTGATCCACTAATTATCTGATTCGACTACCAGGACCTTTCAGTTAATTTCCCTCTCGGCTCACATTAAAGCTGCGACACTCAAATTTGTTTGCCCACGACTGTCCATAAAACCCGTCATCGGTCGCCATGGCCACCACATCCCATAGTAAGTCAAAGGCAGAGGGAGGTGGTTTTCAGGATGTTGTGCAGGATATATGACCGCTCCTCCAAATGTTGGTTTTCGCTGTGTTTATTTACCTACCCGGCCCGCTCAGAGGTGACTCTGGGGGCGAGTTGTGGGGGCATCAGAGAGTGCCTCGTTGGAGGCAAGCACACATATGTGGGTTTACTCAACCACCAGCTAAAAATATCCTCTCAGGTGGAAAAGTGTACGCCTTGTGTTGTGGATAAATTTCAAATAAATGAGAAAGTCAAGTCTCCTTTGAGTCATGCTTGATTTATATATCATTTTTACAACAAACGAGGGGAGCATACTTGATTGTGAAATAATATTGCTACAAAAGTGCCTGGAAAATACATGACATCCCCCCCTGCCAAATGAAAGGGGAGCTTTGCACATTTTCCACTTTTTAATTTCATTAATTATAACAATGCAACAACTGAAAGGAAAAGCTACAAATAAAAGGGGAAAAACTATAAGAGGTGAGGGACGGGGGTAGAAATTGGAAAAGGGGCAAAGTGACGTGTAGCCAAGCGCGTAACGTGTCATGTTGCCATGATTTGTGTCCATAATTGTTTTTCTTCAAACAGATTTTGACCAAAGGTGGCAGCAGTATAAAGATAAATAGCATTTTGTTTCTTCTTCTGATTCGTGGCTAAACATCAAAACTTATTAAGGGTGATAAATGCCAAGTCTCTTTCACAGTAAAAGCCCCGACACGACACAATTTCCCCACATGGAAACAATATTTCTGAATAGATTTGATTAATTTAGTGAAGCACAACTGTCTTCTAGCAAGTATATCATCTGAGGTACACTCTGTCCCACACTGTTGCAAAAGTAAAAAAAAAAAAAAAAAAAAAAAAAAAGAAAAACGTATTTTAAATTAATATAATAAAACGCAAGCAGACCCGGATATGTCCTCTTGCGGCATTGAAGCAGATTATGAAGATAAATCAGGAAAATTAAGCTGAGTCTCCTCAACTCAGTAGAGGACAGAATGTGACTTTGGTCCCATTTATAAAGCAATAAAAGATAATACGATATCTAAAAAAGAAAAAACAAAAATCCAATATTAGCTGGGATCAGAATCAGCCAGTAAATGTAGGCATTCAGTCAGCATGCTCTCTAAGCGCCCTCCCCTCAAGAGGTCTAGTCTGTAAAGCCATTGCTTAATATTTGGTTGCTGGGACGGGGCCTGCCCTGGAGCCTGCCTCTCTCCACAGCGAAATAAAGTTCGCCCACTCACAAGCAAAATGGGAAAGACAGGGATGGTATAACTCCATTGCTAGGGAATTTTAAATAGGGGAAAGTTGGCATCACTCAACAACTCGGCTCTGCTAAATTCAGCCATGAATCTTTCCAGACTGTGGAAAAATTACCATCTTCTCAATGCAGCAGAACCGAAGCATTCAAGAGAATTATAGGTGCGTCAATATATCAGAGCAGGTTGAGACCCACAGGGGGAGAGATGTTGTTTTTTTTTTTGTTGTTTTTTTTTAAAAGCGTGGATGCAGACTTAGGTGGGACATTGCACGCGAAACGTTGCTCGAGTGGCGAACCTCGTTGAACCGTGACCACAATTAGATGCGCAAACAGTCCTTTCCATGACTTATGAGTGGTCAAACAAGGGGAATCACGCACCGGACACTCCTGTGCAGAAACACTAACAAAAAAGACACATAAACACTGTGGAAGAAAGACAGTGAATTTCAATGGACTTTCCTGCTGTCAGAATGTCTGGTATGCATTAGCCACAGACTCCAGTGGGATAGCTGGATCCACAGCATGCATGTGCATGAGGGCAAATCCATGCAAGCAGGCGTAGTAGCACACACACACACACGCACACACACACACACACACACACACACGCAACAACATACAAAAACAAAGAGTGAAAGTAAGAGGGTTCACCAGAGTCAAACAAGACTACGGTTCACACTTTGCCAAATAGGTCAGAAACATTTACATACAGAGGGATGGAGATACAGGCAGAAGAATTAGCGGTAGCATGCTCAGCTTAGCGTCAACTTGACTATCCTACCATTTTTTTATTGTTGTTTTTTTACATTTATACCAAAGTCACGCCAAGGCAAAGCAAACTAAGCAGCTGCTATCAATTGGTGGAGTTTCAATGAAAACAATAATATTCCTCATGCGAGTCAGGACTACAAAGTTTTTGTGTGAACAAATGGCAACAGTTTTTTTTTATTTTTATGAAACAAAACACAATATTTTTTTTAAATAAAAACACTGTAGGCAGAGCTTTTTCTAAGCAAAATTATATTAGTAGCGTAACCATTCTCATCAAAGAATTAAGTGTATGCTGTAATAACTGTCTATGATGCAGAGATGTCTGAACATGAATGATATTTACGGGATATCAGGCTGATAGCCAAAAGGCTCGCTAATCGAATTGTCCCAGCGTTGGACAGGCACTGTTTCTCTTTTTTTCCCCTACATCTCCTTGTTAATTGTGCTCCCATCTTGGATTGGGCACAAAGATTGAATCCAAGATAAACCAGTGGCTATCTACACAAAGAGTATCTTATCGTCAAGAATTGCTTTTGTTCAAAACAACCCTTTTTTAATGCTTTTAGTTTTGGCTATTAAAATGGTGGGGGTGTAAAAAGCCAAATCTTTACAAGTAAAAGTGAGGTGGAGTTAGCTGGCAAAGGCAGTGGGCTAATTTTTATGTGTCTCCTCTGTGACCATGGCGAAGAGAGTATTCGTGCCTCAGGGCACTTTTTGTTTTCGCATTAGTGCACACTCTTCATCGGGGTTTATGTGATGAAGGAAAGTCAAAGGAAAATGTCACTGAAAACTAATATGAAACTATACACTGAAGTCACCAACCCCACTGTAAATATGGTGGTGGCGTCAGTGTGCCGTGGTGCGGCTGGTCAGGGTTGATGAAAATATGAATGGAGTTAAGGGAAAGACTGCAAAAGAGCTGAGACTGAGGAGGAGGTTCACCTTCCGGCAGAAAGAAAACCCTAAAACATTCACTGAGGGCTGCAGTGGAAGAGTTCAGCACAATGTCCCTGTCAAAGTCCATCCTGAAATCTGATTGATAATCTGCCACAAGACCTGAGAACTGATTTTTAAAGACTCAGCACATCCAGTCTGACTGAGCTTGAGCCATTTCCCAGAGAGTCGCATTGGTTTGTAGATGTTGCAGAACTTGTAGAGTCACTCAGCAAAAGCTGAGTCAACAAATTCCCGACTCAGGAGGGCTTAATATAAATACATTCAGATTTTCATTTGTTAGAAAAACGGAAAATGACGTGTCGTGTAAAACCACAAAAATTGTGAAGAAAAAAACAAAAAACAAAACAAAACCCGTCAACAGCTATGAATATTTTTGCAGATCACTGTATCATCTCACTTTTCCGGAGCCATGTGTTGCAGTTCAGATCTGTGTATGTGTCTCATATTATTTTTGTTCAACAGTAAAGGAATCTCACCCTAATGAGAGAGGCTCTGTGTTGCCAGCTCGAGGTTTTCACTGGCAAATATCTCCTGTTCTTCCGTTTTGTCAGCTATAACTAAAAACTCATTTCGGTTTCAATTTAATTCCATCTCCGTCTTTCCCACTCAATTTACTTGTTAAAAAACATTGATCTATATTTCACTTGATTCCAAGAAAACCACAACCGCAGATGCTCGAAAGAGCTGGAAGGAAGGTGAACGTCCTCGGATCAGAGGAGTCAAAGCCAGCGAGACGCAGGACCGCAGGACTCTTACGAAGCACAACCTGTGCCAAATCCGAGCTTCCTGCGTGACTCAAATGCCGAGTCCAATTCCGACGGCTTCCTGTGGCGGCACAAACCTGGGTTGACCTGCGATGTGACGGTTCCCAGCAGCTGGATGACGATGAGCGGGAGGAAGAGAGAGTCCGACAGGTGCCTCATCATCGTGAACACACGAAAACAGACAGACGTCCACAACCTGGAGGAAAAGATGAAAACAGCAGGTCAGACATGCCCGATGGATTTTCCAGCGTTACTTAACCACTTAAGCCAAAAAAAAAAAAAATCCCACCCATTTGTGTTTACTTTTTGGTATTCATGGGAACAAGACTTTCGTTTAGAATACATGGGAGCCTAAATAGAATAATGCTTTTTTTACAACCAGTAACAAAAAGCGCAGTAATTACCAGCAAACAGTGGAATTTCCATTAACCAACCAGTTTATTATCCAATGAGGGGAAAAAAAAAACAAAAAAAAAACAAAAAACGATTAAACCCAAAACTGCAGTGACGTCGCGCCGTCAATCACATGAGACGAAACAGCTCCGCGTGCTCAGTTGTGAGTTAGCTTCTTGATATTCAAATATGAACCCGAGCTGAGAAAGTAAAGGACGCCTGGATGAATGAAAGAGGGAAGGAGGAGGAGACGCCGAGGCCTTAAATCACAGACATGACTTCAGCCGGACAGACACGGAGCCAAGAAGCCACCTCCGACTGACCACTCGGTCCAGCGGCTCGGAAACCAGTTTCAACCAGTTTCTGTCCGCGTTTCATTCGTGATGCGAGTCTTTTACGTAAAAGCCGTCATCCGCTGGAGCCTCACAAACAACTTTTTCACTTTCAGTATTGTAGAAAAACAACTCCAATAGATATTTCTGAGCAGACAAATAAACTGGGAATGAGACATAATCTGGTTTGTCTGTTTGCTAGTTTAGCTGCAATTTATGCACAATTTTTTAACGTGAGAACATAAATGGATACATGTGGATGAGTCTCTATGTGCACTGCTGTTTTCTGCAGACTTTCTGGCTGACTCATCTTCAGACTACTGGCACTTTTTTGTTATGGCTGACAACACAGGGTGGCATGACTTGGAGGGTGGCATTAGCAGCTCAAAAAAGAAAACTGTTAGTCATGCTTTTTGTTTTTAGATTTTCGGGAAGCTTTGTGGAGGATGAGCACCCAAAGTTGTTTCTAATCTAAAATAAAGCTTAAACCAGAACTGAACAATGGTATTGAACAGGTCCTTATATTAATTAATGAATATTGAGGGTCAAAAAAGGGTTTCTGTCATTCATACAAGGAACATTTATAATCTGGAAGAATCTCTTGATCAACACAAGCAGAAACGTCTCAGCTCTTGGACTCAGTTAAGATCTCCAAGTTTTTGAATTTTTATCTCAAACTTGCTCGATTTCGCAACATTTCTGACTTAACTCCATTATTGCCACTTTCCACAAAATTGTTTTGCTTTTTCAATGCCTTTTCCTGCCACCTCTCATCCCAAGTATTTACCACTAAGAAACCTCTACCAAGCCAAATTCCTCTGTTTTCAGTGATGATGAAACACAAGCAGCTGATGTTTTTGCATTTGGAAGTCAAACATATGTTTATCATGTTCATTACACGTTAAAAACAGCCTGTGTTGCACATGGGGTCTGGAGAGACCTGCCTCTGCTTCAAACATTCATTACCGATCGCCCAAAGTTTAAAATTTCCCTTTCCCACTTGCTCCTTTTAAGACTCAGCGGTGCACATACAAGTGTGTTCATACTCACACACAAGCATCTCAAGTGACTTTTTGAGTCGAAGGCCTCATGTAGTCACTTTGGCATCGCTATAAATAAGGCGACAACTTCCCTGACTTTGAAACCAGTACATGTGGTTGTTTTCCCATCATTTTAAGAATGCCCTAAACAATATATCCAAAAACACAGTGAAAACCTCAGATGACAATAACATGACAAGCATCTCTGGAAATTCTGATCCAGAAAAAAACAAAACAACAGGGAAAATAATGACGAATCCGACGAGGTCTGCTCCGGGATCCGTAACGTTTCCTTGCAAATATGTTCTCGTCTTGGAATATCGTTTGTTTGTGCCAGTGTTGTACTGAAATGGATTTCCTGCCTCCCATGTGTTGTGATGCAGCATCTCCATGTCCCAGCTGTGCTCTCAGTATGAAGATAACAGCTGCTCCAACACATCTGTTCTCCGCTGCAGCAACACGAGATCAGTAAACAGGTTGATGGAGCCGCAGGAAAAACTTATTCATAGCTCGCTTCTGAGTCAAACGGGACTTTATGCGCTTTTCACTTGCAAAAGCCGGGCCTTCGCAAAAGTGTTCACACCCTTCTGACCAAAGCTTGTGACGTTACAACCGCAAACTCCAATGTGTTTCATTAGGATTTGTGAAGTGAGAAAAACGTGAGGCATAAAAACTGGTTTTCAGTATAAAGTTTTATGTGAATAAATATCGGAAAAGTTTGGTGCGCCTGTTTTCGGCAGCCTGAGTCAATAGATTAAAGGAAAACAGTTCTCTTCGTTTACAGCTGTTGTAAGTTTAGGACGTTTTCTCTGCCTGCTTTGCACATGTGTCGTCCGTTCTTCTCTGAAAAATATCCGAAGCTCAGTCAGACAGAGCGTCCGTCACCGTCAGCATTCACGTTTTGCCACTGAGTTACACGTGAATTTCAGTCGGGACTTTGACTGCACCACTCTGACACGTCAATGTCACTGCCTGAACTTTTGTCAGCATTCAAGCTCTGATTGTGTGTTCAGCGGTGGAGATCCAAACGGAGCTGAGGCCCTTAAAACTTTAAAGATTTTCTTCCAGTTGTTGCTCTACAATAATCTCCATCAATCTTCCTGTCAACTTTGAACAGCTGCTCACAGCATAACGCTGCCACCACCATGTTTCAGTGGGAGGTTGTTGAGCAGAGGAAAATGTACATCTTTTCTGAGCAGAGCATCTTCCTTCTGGTTGGCGCTACTCCTTCTCTGGCTCCTGCCAACATGTTGTCAGATTTGTGGAGTTTACACCCAGATTAATCCAACCTGAGCTGTGGATCTCTGCAGCTCCTTCAGAGTAACCATGCTTATCCCGACTGCTTCCTGCCAGTTGAGGTGGGAGGCCGTATCTTTGTAGGTTTGCTGTCATGCCGTGCTCTTTTGAACTGATCAGTGCTTAATGAAATTTTCAAAATTCGTGATAAACAACTTTGTTTATTCAGTGATATTTGCTTCGTAGCCTTAACAGAGGAATCAGATTATTACTGACGACAACTTTAGTAAGATAATTGCGCTGGATTTTATTCAGCAGTGTCTAAGTAAATTGGGCTGAACATTAAAGCAAGTTTATTCTTTTTTTTTTTTGGAAACCATAACTCGTTTTTTCCTTCCACTTAACAATTATATGCCAAGTAGTTTTTGTCTACATAAAATCCCAATAAACTCTGTGGATTGTGGTAGTGTTGTGACAAAATGTGGAAAAGTACAAAAGTTCTGTGGAGGGAAAAAAATTCTAGACCTCGTAAAAATATTTTGTCTGTTACAAGATCAATGTTATTGAAACGTAGTGGTAGTTCCATTGATCATCTTCTGTTTGTCATCTGACATTTTGTTATGTGTTGTAGATAACTAGAAAGATGTTGAGAGGTGCTTAGAAGTACGAGAGCTGCAACGGAGGCCGTTCTCATATTTGCACATAAACTTCATAGATCCCGAGTTCTTCCGACCTAAAGCGCCTCAGCAGACCACAGAACATTTCAGAGAAGTGATTTTTTGCTGAAATAAATGGTTTAATAATGGAAATAATATCTCCTTCCAGGAACAGTGTGCTTGATAGCTGACCCCCAAAGCTGCCAGAGAGGATATTAATATGACTGGAAAACTCAGAGAGCTTAAACTCAGAAAAATGGTGTGATTGGAAGTGAAGCTGCAACGGGAGTAACACAGATCGAACACATTCATTTATTGAAGGTGGCGCTTTAAAAATTTCACTCGGACAACAAATTATGAGAAAAAGAATATTTTGTTATGACCTCTTCTGTCCTCACTGGACCTTCCAAACGTATTGCTAGGATCATTTCAGCCCTTTTTTCCTCTAGTGATGGCAAATACTGCTGGAATGTTTTAAACTCTCATCTATTGTTTTTCAAGGCTACTGCTCATACACACCTCTCCCTCTGGGTCACATATGAGATAATAAACCACTGACACCTTTAGGAGCTTTCAGAACAGGGCCAGACAAATAAACCGGAGCAGAATGAGAGTAAAGCAACCAAAACATACTCCCCCGTCCCCTTTAATGTCATATACTATGTCAGACAAATTTCAGTTTGTTCTGGGGATCATTTTTCATTAAACACTCATTTAAGAGTCCCTGTAAAAAAATAAATAAAAAAGGCTAAATCTTTACATAACAGAGGAAGACCGGATGGAACAATAAAAGAGATGGAAAAGAACATTACTTCACCGGTGTGTGTGTGCGTGTGTGTGTGTGTGTGTGTGTGTGTGTGCTTGCAAAACGTTTGTTCAAAAAGAACACTGGTTGAGTTTTAGATTTTGTTCCTGCAGGACCTCAAAAAGGAGCTCTGGCTTTATGCAGTGTCATCTTTGCAGTGAGGAGACCAACTGGATCTGTCAAAAAATATTACTGCTTCAATTACTGTAACTATTAGATAGAGGGCATACCTAAAGCAAAGCAAAGTTAAAGAAAAGCTGACACTTGTAATGGACTTTTAATGCAACTTTCAGAGCAACTTTGCATTAAAAGTGTCATAAACATTCATGAAGACTCCCTCATGTTTATGACAGCATCATGTCAGTCTTGTGCACATCCCTTCAATAAAGTGTTACCAAAATTTCCTACCTTTTCTCTCTTTTGCTACACGTACAAGTTTGGGGTGTAAAAACACGTGCTTTCACAAAGGCCCAAATGTCATTTGTATCCTGAGTTACAACTCTGTATTATGTGGGAAAAGTGGAAAAATGTTTTGCTTATTTCTGGGATTTGTCACTTTAATAACTAAAGAGAAACACAAAATACGACAGTGATTCTGAGAAAAGAGCCGCTTCAAAACGAATACCAGAGTTTCAAGATTAAATTACACACAAGTTCACTGTATTTACAAGTAGCAAAAGTGTAAAAAGCCCAGGGTCTGTTATTACGCTTGCAAGGCGACGTATGTACACGAA